GTCGTATGAGCAAACGGGTCCGGGGGTTTTCACCAATCTTCTTTCCCTTGATAAGTGAGAAAGGTTGACTATCACAAGTGTGCTCCTTCTTGCACTTGTCACATTTGCCGCCGTGTCTTTGCTATTCACTCATATGCGTATCGAACTGACCAAATCTTGCTAGTAGCCGTGAGCAAGTAAGTCGGGGTGCTCGTCTGCCGCCTGCGCAGAGGCCATGAGCATCTAGCTAATTCCTTTACGGGTCCAGCAGGATATGGAACGCAAAGGTTAAAAGATTCATGCCAAGTCATGGTTGCGCCTCCTGCAGCCCTAGTGGGAGGTCCTAGCGATATGCCGATGAGAACATTGAGATGCTAACAGAAACGGAGTAGATAGGGAACGAGCGCCCTCTAGGCCAACCGGTGACATTGGCAAGCGAAATCGAGGCACCGTGGAATGAAAGTGCAGACGGGAAACCTCGAAGAGTGGAAGTCTCCCCTTTTCAAACATACGTGTTCTTGACGATGCTCGTTGGCAACAAGTCTCCGTAAGCTCGCAGGAATAGATCCAACCTTGCTCCCCTCGCAGATGGAGTATTTAGCTTTTGTTCCGTTCAGCATATCCCCGACCGTTCCGAAATACTGTCCCGACTCCTCTAAACACTAAAATGCCCTTTCCTGGAGGGTAATGAGCCACCAATACAAGGGCTAGAACAAAGTAAAAGACACAGAAAGAAAGTTCCCTATTCCTCGATTTCCAGGCAGATCACCATCCAGCGTCCTTACTCCCGGAAGACCTCGGGACGGTGAGGCACCAGGCTCGAAAGAGAAAAGACTTTTACGATGGGCCTGCTATAGCCTGCTAGTACATACACTGAAGGTCGAACGTTAACGGGAGAAGAGAGGGGTAGGGAGGGGACAAAAGCCTGCCGAGGAAGAAAACGTACGGGCCCGCACGTGGTGGCAGAAAGCCCGAAAGCGCATGCAAAGACGGCAGTTCCACGGCAGTGCAAGCTGCGGAAGGGTGGAGCCTCGAAAGGGAAAGGACTGTGACTATGCGAGATCGTCTGATGAACGAGAAGCAGAACTTCTATGGCCTGAGGCCGGCTCGTCTACAGTCTCATCATATCCTCGGCGTTATTACAAACCTACCACGGGGCAAGATGGAAGAGAAGAGATTTCTTTTTGGGAGGGTAAGGATATCTATTCTGGTTACATTCGCCTCCTCTGCTATATCCCTATCCCAAGGATACGCGCTCATGACATGTGCCCGTGGCGGCCTCAGGGACAGGGTTTCCGCGAAGAAAGGGTTAATACTGGGATTAGCATCGGTATCCAAGGCAGCAGCTTCTTTTGAAGGCCCATTCCAAGCTTCTCCGGGTCAGCAAAGCTACACTAAAACAGGGCAGAGACTAAAGAGAGTGGTAGCATGTGGGTCAGATCTGTTGGCTTTGAGGTGCTTCGGCTGCAATATTGTGATCCTGAGGCATTTAAGCATAAGCGTCGAGCAATAGACTGAGATGACCTGCATCTGAACGAGACCGTCCCAAGGAGAGAAGGGAGGATTTCAGGGATCCACAAGTTTCCACTGTGGCGATGAGTAAATCCGGATCGAGTTGCGGCAGAAATGGGAAAAAGACGGAAAAAAAGGGCAACCCAGAGGAAGAAGAAAATATTGGACAAGAATGGCAATACTTCCATTCTCGGCTCGGCGAGTGGAATCCTTTTTCTCGGAGGGGATAGAGGAGGGGAGGGGCGGCGGGGGCCTTTTCCTGCCCCCGATTCACGGCACCTCATTCGCCGGGAAAAAAACCGGAGCCTCAGCGGCGGGGGAAGAGAGGGGCGCGGTCTTTGCTTTTTGTGGGTCGTTTTTCGGTAGAGTCAGCCGTGAGCCTGCGCCGGCGCTCGCCCGGGCCTTCCTCCCCCAACTTCTCGCCTCTCTGAAAAATATCATTAGCGGCTCGTTTTGCTGACAAAGAGGGCAGGCACTACGACGGAGCGAGCTTTTGGCTTGCCAGCTTTGCCAGCCCGCCCAGGTTGCGAAGCAAATGCCGGCGACGGCCCTACGAGGGCTAATCCAAAGGTAATAATGGATGTGATGGCTAGCCCGTTGATCTGCAGCGACACTGCCGCCGAGATGGGGAAAATACACTCGTCTTTTTGGTTGTTTTCGGGGCGCTCGGCCGCTAGCCTATGCAACGAGTAGGCCAATCAAGAAGCTCTTCTATTCTACACTTTTTCTGTCCTTGCTTTCCCTCTTTTTGGTGTGATAGTGGCTTTAACAATCCCGCGGCGTGAGCTGCGCTGCAAAGAAAGAGGATGGGTATCTCCACTGCTATGCCCTTTTTTCTATAAGCGAGAATTCAACGTTCAATGATGTGTATCCGAGTACTTGTGTTTGTGTATGTGCTGGGTTAGGGCGGTAGTAAAGAGGGGAACTCTTCTTGGACTGGGTCTAGACGAGCGTTGGTGCAAGTGTTGGTCTAGATGCTTCCTTGGTGGGTTGCATGCTGCAACAGTGTAAGTCCGGCAAAGAAACTAATGAAGGGTTTTTTACTTCTTCCTCTGTTCGGACGAATACAACATGAGAGAATATTCACAATCCGTAGTTATTTCTCCTTGGTATACTGTGCATCAACATGGCCGTCCCCCGTTCTTCATGTATCAATTGATGCTTGCTAGGCTAACTATCTTGCCTGCCCTTTTTCTAGTCCATGGAGTTGATATCGAAGCATAGCGGTCATCGGGCATAGCGGTCATCGGGGAGACCGAAGAGATGAGGCTGCGGAGGCGAGAGGCGAGAGGCAACTCTAGGCTTCACATGTTGTAAGGGATATGCCATTACTAACTCAGCGATGCTGACATCGGCCACATCGTGCGTCACTCTTCCAAGGAAGAAGCAAACGCACCTGACTCGAACAAGCCAGGGGACAGGGCAGGGCTGTTTCTACTCTCTCAGGGCAGATATGTGTGCTGCGCGTTTCGTTTCCCTGAGGGCTGACGCTAGCGGTTTCATCTAGCCGCTTTCACATTTGCCTTTCTTCTTCTTCTTCTTCTTCTTCTTCTTCGTCTCTTTGTCTTCTTCTCTTCTGTCATCCTCACCATTCCTCTTCAGGAATGTCACAGCCACCGAAGCTGCGGGGTGCGAGTGGGTGGGTGGGACAAACAGAAGAAGAAGAGAAAAAGAAAGAGACAGTGTGTAAGTGCATGCCCGTGTCTATGTGTGTGTGTGTGTGTGTGTGTGTAAAGAGGGGTTGGCTGTGTGCCCGTTTGCGTTCCTGGCCCCCATTCCCCATTCATTCTGTTTGCCGTTTCCGTCTCTTTTGGAATTTTTTTCTTTTAACCTTTGATCCTGCTTCTAACCGCTCCCACCAGTGCCAATAGTTGTCGCTCAGTCCCTGGTGCCTGGCGACCTAGCAGCGACCCAGCAGCGACTGGTCGGTCTCCCTTTGGTGGCGCGGCCAGGCGCCCGAGAAAGTGGAGCCGTGCAGTCCCAAGTTTTTCCATTCCAGACTCGGGGCCATGTCCCCGCTCTTTTTGCCCTGAGAAGTCCCGAGCTACTAGCGAGTTACCTCAGCTCGACTTGCTCGGCCGGTTCGTTTAGAGCTTCGGGCTCGAGTATCCCCGATTTCACGCACTATCTCACGTCCGCCGTTCTCGCCCGTAACTTGCCCGTCGCCCTTCTTCAATACGCTTTGCCCATTGGACGGGGACGTCGGCGCCGTGGGACCCACTTTCGCTGGGCTAGCCCTAATTCGGGCGGCTTCCGACTGCCTGGGTCTTCTCAATTGATCCATTCCATCCGTAACCCGCTCGACCAAAAGCCAGTGTCCACGCAATCACCTCATACGCAACTTGCAAAGGGGCGCCATTTTTCTTCTCCTGGGTTTTGTACCCTTTTTTTCTTCTTTCTTCTTCTTCTATTCGCCCTTCCCCCTTTTTGAGGCGCTTTCCTTTTCCAGGGCACTGGGCGCCTGACAGGAAAAGAGGGATTTCTTTTGAGGAACCTGCAACTACACTCCCAACACCGTGAAGACCGAGGTACCTCTGGACAGAAATAGCGGGGCAGTAAACCTTGGAATGTTCTCTCGGGCGAGTTAGGGTCCAGGCCTTGGGCGCGAAAGGTAAAAACGACGGAAGAAGAACGGAGGAGAATAGTGACCACGTAAAGTACCTGAAAAGAGAAGAAAGAAAACCAAAAAGAGGCAACGGCTAGAAGGAGCCAATCGCCACCAGGGCTTTGGGCGACTCGCTGTCACGGCCGCGCCAGTCCCACTTTCACACACAGAAACCCAAACTCCCACTCTCCTCGGCTTAGACTCGAAAGCGCCAGGGGAGCCAGTTTGCCGAACTTGCAACGAGAATGGGGAGAAGGCTAAGGAAGGATGGAGAAAGAGGATATTCCCCGAAGCACAAACGAGGGAAAAACAGAGTTTTGAGTGGCAGCGCGGAGAGGGGCGCGGGGGAAGGAAAGGCAAAGGGAAAGGGCGAACGGGGCCGAAGCTGGGGCGGGCTTTTGCTTGAATTGTGCAATGGATCTCGTTCGCTTGCGGCTTGCGTATGCCGTATCCACTGCCCACGCGCGCAAAAGCCCACCCGCTTCACCCAACCCAAGCTTTTGGCTGGGATTTGTTAGCCCACTCAGACCAATATGGCTTCCTTTACGGCCCGCTTCCCTTCCCTTCCCTTGCCTACCCTTGCTAAACCCTGCCTTCCCCCTTGACATCCATCATGTATAAAGTCTCCGTCCTCCTCCTCCCCAATCCTCGGGAATAACTTTCTTTTCTCTCTATCTCAGCATCATCTTGACTCTTCCAGTCCATCACTCCCTCCTTTCTTTTACATTCTTTCCTTTGCGTGAGCTCCTTGGAGACGCTCCCTTCCCTTCCCTTTCTTTACCCACCATCTTTTTCAAACCCGACCGAGTCGGCCATTCTCTTGAGTACTAACGTACTACCAATACTATCATTACACACACATTCCTTCAAACTAGAAGAAGAAAACAAACAACACATACACAAAATGCAGTTCTCCAACACCCTCATCGCCCTCCTCGCCTCCGCCGGCACCGTGGCCGCCAACACCGTCACCTTCCTCTCCCAGGACAGCGTCGGCCGCACCATCATCTTCACCCCCAACGCGGGCTACCCGTCCCTCGACAAGATCTACGTCGACGGGCACAGCAGCGCGGTGGCCGACTTCCCTCGGGCTGGATCGGCAACTGGTACGCCGTGTCGGACGGCGCCCACGATTCCCCGGCATGCTCGGCGAGGTGGCCTTCCAGGGCTGGAACGGGCTCACGTACTTTGACGTGTCGGCCATCATCAACGCCAACGACCACGTCGGCGTCAAGGAGATGTGGCCCAAGAGCTCGGCCTCGCCCACCTCGGGCTGCAAGACTTTCCCCTGCAACAACGCCTACTACCTGCCCGACGATGTCCAGACCAAGACTACCTCGGAGACGGACCTCGTCTGCACGCTGGGCGGGTCGGGATCGAGCAAGAGGGAGGAGGGAGAGAATGTCAAGCGCGACTATGTGCTCGGCAAGTGGTAAATCTTTTTACCTTTTTTTCCATTTCTCTCCCTCTCTCTCTCTTTCACGACTCTTTATGACATGAACACAAATCGACAAAGCAACGTCCTACGATGAACCATCAACAGCCGGAAGAGGGGAATTCTCAACCTTATACATTCTCTTGTTTTTGCCCCCTTCCGACTTCTACCTTCTTTTCTTCATCACTTTTTCTTTTCTTCTTCTACTTTCTCTCTATGGATTTGGGAACACAGATGACCAGCCAAAGGCGTTCAAAAATACAACTAAACTTTTTTTTCTTCGCTTCTTACACCTTCTTCACTACATTCTTTCTTCCACATTCCCGAGGCCCCCTCGATTGCGAGGTACCCTTATACGCACACCAACGGTGTCCCGCGCTCAACCTTTCCTTCTTGCCTTCATTCTCTTGGCGAGAGGGAAATAGGATTGCACCAACACACTCGCTTAACAAGGGCGACCCAGAAAAACAACTTGGGCTCGAGGCATTTCCGTCCCCGAACGACATTCTCTTACGATCTGAACTCGTACACACTTTCTTTCAATACCTTTTACACACTGGGACCCACGGAGAGAGCTTCGCAGCTCGCGGAATGGTGACTTTTTTCTTCTTCACCTTTTTTCGTCACATTCCTCCTCTCATCTTTTTTTCTTCTTGAGAGGAGAATAGGACGCCTTCTTGTATATACCAATTTTCTTTTCTCTGCCACTTTCTTTTCCTAGATATGCCCATCTGGGAAATCAAAAGACTTCAAATCATCTTTTACCAAAAATCACTCTTAATACTGTGTTCGGTGACATGTGGGCTATTGTACGGAACTAACACCCAAGATCCGACGAAGCCGCTATCAATGATCGGCCATGTCAAAGGTGTCTTGGCCCATCACGTTTTCTGTCCCGGGTTTGTCGAGCCAACGGGAAGTGCAGCTGCCCCTTGCATTGATTGACGAGTTTAAAAAAGTCTTGGGACAATCATTGCTTCCCACGCCCAAGCAATACATGGATGTACTGCCGGCTCTCGGAAGTGCCTCGTTCCACCCTTTCATCCCAACTTGGCAAATTAATCCCATATTGCTCAGGCACCAGAACCTGTACAGCAGAGGAAGCGAGGGAAAAAAAAGAGAAGGGATGTAAAAATATCGATATAACGGGATATTTATTACGCCGGCTATAGACCAAGCCGTTCGACAGTTCAGAGACAAGCTAAATGTACCCTTCGAATGGCCTTCCTGCCCTACCCTCTCACGGTATCAGTATCATCTATTCACAAGATACATATATGACCAAGGCAATCTTTCAACCTTGGCCCCGTGGACACGGATGGATGGATCAATAGTCCCTCTTCTCGCTTCTTTTATCTCGCATATTCCAAGCCATCTCCCCCAAGTACCATCACCTCTTTCTACTCTTATCCTGTATCTCTCCGAAGAGAGCATGGAGAAGGAGACGAGACAAGAATGCCGGTGGACTCGGCAGAGAGGGGCAACCCATGGCCTCGCTCGGGGAGGGGAGCCAAATCAATTCTTGTCTGCGTCTCTGCCGACTCGGTAAAGAAACGAGAGAAAAGCGGGGAGATGCCTGTCGTTGATGCCTAGTGCCACCCTCGAATGGATCTATTCAGCGAGCGCAATGAATCATTCTGTGGCTCAACGCAGCCCATGAAGTTGGAACGAAAGGCTATCTCCTCCGCCAAAGCGCGCTGGAAAACAATCTTGGATTCTAGATCATCTCCAGGGTCCCCAGCGTCACCGACGACAAATGACGAGATTGGCCCGGACAGTGACTGAAAACCAAACGAAAGGTAGAAACCACAGGATCTTCCTCCTTTTCCATACAGTCCCGCTTTGTCTTCTTCGTCTTCTTTCTGTGCCTGTTTGCTGCCAGAGCGATAATACCAACCATCCCAAAAGAAAAAAAAAAAGAAAAGTGGCGTTTGTCAGTCTTGCTAGCGAGCATCCTCCGAAAATAGCCTATTCCCCTTTGCATCCAACTCCGACCGACTTTCCCACACATCGAATTGAACCTGCCTTTCTCCCCTCCCCCACTCACACCATCCAGAAGGAGAAAAGAGACGAAAAAGGAAAAGGGAAAAAAAAAAAAAACGCTCTCGCCACCTCCTGAGAGTGCGTCTTTTGTCCGCTTCCAGATTCATCCTCTTTGAGAATATTGAAGTCTCATTGGCCGAGTCTAGACTTGGAAACAAACCGCCTCGTTCTAGTCCCCCAGGCCATCGATGGATGTGGCTGCCACAATAACAGGGACAGCAAGACAAGAGGTGGAGGTGTGTGCCAGCCCAGTTTTCCCGTCAGTTCAGTTTTTGGCAAAGCCGTTGGTGATCACACCCATTGATTTCGTGTAGGCGACGGTATTGACGGGTGAGGGCTGGCCAGGCACCAAAGTCCTCAAACTTTCTCTTGAGATGTCAAGACTGAGAGGCTCTCTTTTCGTGCTCCCGTACTACATGTATCCCTCGTGGCCGCGAATAGGAAAATATTACCAGGGAAAAATCATCCCGAATACCCCCATGTAACCATCATTGATCGCGGATCAAGTGCAACGCAACACTGAACTACCCTCCCAAATGCTAAATGCCGATCGGAAAGTCACCGTAGCACCCGGACTGCCGCCTGCCGCCAACAAGGGTCTAGGCCAGGGTGGTTGTCTGCATTATTAGACTCACACACACGCACATGCGCACACAACGTCTGGATAGAAGTTGGTCCGCAGATGAAAGCAACCTCATCGCAGAGTGTCAGCCAACGCGATAAAAGAGGAAGAAGAAAGTGACATTTTCGAGGAGCCTACGGCGGGAAGTCGCTGGTAAACTTGAAGTAAGAGATTGTATCACGGTAGGCTCAACCTCGATTGAAAAAGAAAAATGCACTTCTCGTCGCTAAAGTGATGCGACCGTCGCTTGTATCACATACGAGATATGTCAAATCAGCCTTGCAGACTAGAAATTCTTCCTTGTTCCCATTTTCTATCTTTTCCTGCTTGGATCCTAAAACGATGCCATCAATATGAAATCCCCATCTCTAAACAACAAGCCAATCGTCACGGTTTCTTCAATAGAAAAGTCAAGAGATGAAAAAAAAAAAAAAAAATTTGAATGGATAAAAGAACGCAGATGAAAACATAAAGGAAAGCTGGAAGGAAACAATGTGAAAGGAGGAGAGAGAAGATGTCTCTTCTCCCTCTCCCCGTGCCCGGGCCCGTACTCATGCATCAAGAATCACCCTCTCTCTCTCGCTCTCTCGCTCTCTCCATGTACTTCTCCTCTTAACACAAATGTGCCTATTTCTTCTCCCCGTCCTCAGCCTTCTCCTCAACCGCCGCGGCCCCCTTATCCTCCGTTTCCTTGTCTCCCTGCGACGACTCCCCGCATCCTTCGCAGCCTGCTTCTCCCCGTTCTGGCTCGGCTCCTTCTTCTGGGACTCTCCTTCCTCCACTTCGTCCTTGGGGGTCTCTACCTTGGGTTCTACCTTGGGGTCTACCTTGGGTTCCGGCTTGGCCTCCTTGATGTCCTTGTTGTTGACAATCTTGGTGAGGTACGTATCCAGGTCTCCGAACCCGTCAATCTTGCTCAGCTTTGTAGCAAGCAGATCAATGTCACGAAGCATACTAGTAGAGAGGAGAGATATATAGTTAGTAGTTGTCTTTTGACAAGCCATAAGAAAAAGAAAAGAAAAAGGGGGCAGCGATGCATAGGGAGGAAATAGCAAGTAATCAAAAGATGCTCTTACCTTGCCCGACCCGCCTCAGTCTGCGGGTCCGCCGCCTGGAACGCCTTGCCAAACTGCTCCTTGTAGCTCGTAAACACCGGCACCATAATCATCTGGATCGACCGTTCGGGCAAGTGTTTCGTCAGCACCCGATGTAGCGTCGCCGTCTCCTTGGCGAGCGTCTCCGCGTACGCGTGCGTCCCCGTCCCCGTCCCGGTGTCCCAGTCCGTCACCGCCCTCATCGACTTGCAGTGCGCCAGCGCCCGCCCGCTCATAATGTCCACGAGCTTCTGGTAAATGCCGTCCTGGTGTTCTTGCAGCTGCCGCCGCACCTTGTCAAACTCGCCCATGAGGCTCGCTGCCCCGTTCCCGGCCCCGCCTCCTCCGCCGCCCGAGGACGTGGGCCCCGTTCCGGCGTGCCGCCGCACAAATTCGCGCATGTGTGGTATGAGCGCCGCTAAAAACGCCAGAGCCTGCGACGCGAGCGCTAGGTGCTTGGTCGTGATGTTCTTGAGCCCCGCCGACTTGGTGGCCCCGGCGCCCAGGATCAGTTGCGTGCACCGCGAGTTGAACATTTGCAGGTACGCCACCAAGGAACTTGCCACGTCCGCCGTCATCGACGGGATTCCGCACATGAGCCGGACGAACCGCGAGATGCCCTCGAGGCAGAGCACACCCGAATTAGGTAGGAGATACGTCTCGTCGTCAATCGTTGCCCCACGAGCCTTTTCCTTGCTTGTAGCAGCGGCCGTACCGTTCTCACCTGCCGTCGCCCCGGACCCGACCCCATCACCATTGATAGCCGGCTCGTCCACCGTTGGCGGCAGCCATATCCGGCTGGGCTTGCCAAACGACGGTGGGTCGCGCGTGCTAGACCCCAGAATCTCGTCCAGCATCGCCGCCTCCCGCTCGCCAAAGTCCTTGGCGTTCCAGTTGTCCGAGCCCATGCCTGTCGCGAGCGCCTGCATCTCCCGGTCGCCATGCGCCCTGACAAAGTCGAGAATTTGGTTGTTGACCAGCGTCTTGAGCGCTGTGCCGCTGCGCCCGGATACGGATTCGCACTCGGTCGCGAAAAATAGGTTGAGCGTAAAATATCGTAGGAACCACGGAAGTTCCAGACCCACGCTTTGCTCCGTCCGTACGCGCAGGATCCGGATAATCTTGTCGTGGCTGAGATCCACCGCCTGCCCTAGAAGGTTGCCCAGGTCCAGCGCCTTGTGTAGTTCTTCCTGGATCTCGAAACCAGACAGGTCCTGCTGAATACGCCCCACTTTGGGACTGGCTATCGGCGACCGCGGCGCTATCGGAGATCGGGCGCCGCTTCCTCCCGCTCCCGCCTGCGGGTCGCCTACCTCGCTGGCGACGTCGAGGAGGACCTTGGTCTGCGTCGTCACCCTCCTCAGCGTTTCCGCCACCCCCACATACACCGTGGCCAGGAGCTCCTCGCTGTCCCCAGGGTCTAGCGCCCTCAGATTGCGTGCCAAAACTGCCGACCTTTCCTGTGAGCTGCGGCTACGGCCTCCGCTCATCGTCGACGCCGACATCATCGAATCCGCATCGTCGTCCGTTGAGCTGGGGAGCGGCCTTCGCACGAGCTGGCGGATCTCCCGCATCACCGACTCGCGATAGCCTGAGATAGCCGTGGACACGTGATTCGCCCGGTGTAGTCCCACGATATTCGGTAAGAGGGCGGCGCGTAGCTTTTCCGTCGACCCCAGGTACGTGGGAAAGACCGACGGCTCCTTGACGTGCCCGCCACGTGCCCGCATCGCCGCGCTGCCCCACCTCTGCAGCACCTCGCGGATGGATACCGTTTCCACGTGGTTGCGAAGGTCGCCCAGCAGTATCTCTTGCAGCTTCTGGCCAAACACCTTGCCGATCCTGAGCCGTAGCGTGTCGAGGTCACCAGGCACGCCTCGCAGCGCCGTGGCACCGCTCAGGTCACGCAATTGAATATGCGCTACTGGCGAGTCCTTGATCGACGGAACCGAGTCATCCAACTCGCCCTTAATGAGCCTCTCAAGGCCGCCAATCTCGGTCAGTGCTGTGTCGACGTCGCCCTTCTCTACCAGCGCCTCGCACCGAATAACACCATCCACAACAAACTTGAGCTGGATGAGGGCGTCGCGCAGCTGCTGCAAGTTCCTATGCTTCTGCCGCTTCTCTGTCAGCTCCAGACCCTTGGCCACCACCTCTTCGTCGAGAGCGACCAAGTCTTTGCGGAGTGTTTTGATCCGTTCCACCGAGTCGGCCGCCTCCGAGTGTAGTTCCCTCAGTGAGCCGAGTGCCGTGAAAAAGGTGGTAGATGCTGTGGATATCGAGTTGATCAGGTGCATTTCCACCGTATCCATGTACCAGGAGAGCTTCTCTTGCAGGATGGCGTTGGTCGCCAACGCTTTTCGAGGCGCCGGGCCCGCGCCGTCCTCATCCGAGGCTGCAGGCGCCTGGGGCACAACTTCGGACCTCTCGCTAACCACATCAAACGTCCGCGGGTTCTCAAGATGGAACGACTCTTCAAAGTACACGGTAGGGATTGTCGATAGAGGAGGCGGCCCGTGGCCGTGTTTTCGGCTCGACCCCGCCGCCCCGTGGCGCTGGATTCGATCGAGCCCAGGCTTGCGATGGAGGATATTGACGACTTTCGTGACTGCGGTGGCCGCGGGCCCCCGGGCCTGTATCGGTCGTCCACCGCCTCATCGTCGGGCCTGGAGCCCTTTCGACCACCCTGTCCGTCATCTTCGGTTTCTCTGGCTCGCTGAAGTTGCTCGTAGAGCGCGCCCATCTGGTTGAGGTATGAACTGAACTCGCTCGGGTCGACCTTCTCAATGTTTGTCAAAGGCACCGGAGGTATGTCCTTGGGCGTCGGGGTTTGTGTGCGCTCCACGCCGGCGGAACTACATGGGCCTGGAGGCCTGTCCGTACAATCGGAGGATGTAGCAAGGTAGAGATGGCTAATGTTTGAACAAGGTGAAGGGTTAGTAAAAAAGGCGGGACGAAGACATTGTAGCTAGAAGTGCAGGATACAAAAGTACACACCATTTTGTCCAATCTCGAGGAGCGTGTTGTGTCCCCAGGTCCCGGAGCTCGGGTCTAGCAGACCGCCAATGGACCCGGTCGTGGTGGACTGAATGGAGCTAGCATTCGAGCCTCGCCTGGCCCTCGGCGTAATGGTATGGCTAGGTCTACACGCGCGACGGGTTAGCAATCTGAATTGGCGCAGCAATCAATCTCCCCTCTGGTAATTATCGTCCACACCTTTGAAAGGAGCTATCGGAGCGGGAGTGCGAGGAACGGTAGGGTCCGTCGCCAGACCTCTGGCCTGGCGTCGAGCTTGCCATGGCTGGCTAACTAAGAAGGTGGAAATCGGCGGCGGCGGAGGAGGGGAAAGAGGTCGCTGCGGGGACGTCGAAGGGGAGCCGACAACGGTCAAATTGACGGCTTGGGCTGTCGTGACTATCGCGGAGACATTTCTCGAAAACTAGAAACCAAGGCCGCTCGGCTCGTGCGGTCGTCGTGGAAGGAGGGGAGGGGACGGGTGTGTCGTTCGGCACGCGGGAAGGAATTGGCTGGATGGCTTAGCGAGTATCTTCGGATTCGAGCAATTGTCAAAGGAAGCTCGTTCTCGATCGGATCCCGAATTAGCGTCTCGGGCTCTGGGTCGCTTTGTGGTTTCGGGGATTTTTTTGTTTTATTTCCTCTTCTTTTTCTCCCTTTAATCAGTGCTGGGTTCCCTTTTCTGGAGCTTGCGACACTTTGTCCACGTAGTCAAGCCAAGCCCAGCTGGTTGAGCCTTCTCCCTTTGGCTCTGAACCCTGCAGCCCGCCACTCTCAGCTGCCACAGAGCTTCTCACTACTGATGGGAGCACCCCTGCATAGCACAGTCTGCTGCTTACCCACAAGAGACCGAAATTCGGTTGCCTACGAGCTAGGAGCCGACAATTCCCCGAAATCATCACGTGTTGATAACGTTCCCGAGACAAGAGGTACCTAGGTACTTCTTACCGCATTCAGGGGCAGCTGCAACCACTTAAACTTCTTGACGTGAATGAGTGGCAGGCGGCGCGTTGAGCCAGTCCTAACGCGTGGAGTTTCGCGTCTCCCCTCCACACTCCACCTCATTTTCTCAAAGGCCACCCCACGCTGCCATCCCGCCTTCGCAACCCTGCGAACTTCCTCGGACAGCCCCTCGTCCGAACAATCGCAAACCTCTTTCTCGCGCTCCTCGATCATTCGACTCCCCGCAATTTTCTCTTCAAAATCCATTCCACACCAAGGAGATAAAGATACACACAGAGGCGATCAATACCCCGCAATCATGGATCGTCAGTCGGTCTACTCGACGCACGTCTTTGACGCCAACTTCAACGAGCGAGGACACTGCGCTGCAAATTCAGGCGCAGCTCGAAAACTTTATACTCAATTTCAGACTCGAGAACCGGTTCATCTACAGGTATGCATTTGCTCCTTGTCACCCTCGTCGATGCGACTGGCACCAGGTATTAACGCGGGCGGTGTAGAGATCAAGTGCGAGAAAACGCCCTCCTCAAGCAATACTATTGTGATATCAACATCAACGACTTGATCAATTACAATGAAGAGCTGGCGCATAAGCTCGTCAACGAGCCCGGCGAGGTCATCCCTCTAGTACGTACTTTTTACCTCCCATGTGCCTTGCCGCCATCCCCTCCCGCCTATAAGAGGCCTGCCATGCGAGTGCGAGGGACTCAGGCACAGTCATGGATCGATCCGGGAACGAACTAACAATGGTGCGCCATATAGTTCGAGTCAGCGCTTAAGAAGTGCTCGATGCGCATCATCTTCCCCCTTGAAGGCAAGGTCGAGCTTCCCGAACACCAACTTCTTCTCCACTCCGATGCCGACAACACGTCCATCAGAAATCTTGACTCCATGACCATCTCGAAGCTTGTGAGGGTTCCCGGTATCGTCATCGGCGCCTCCGTTACCTCCTCCAAAGCGACCCTTATCGTCGCTCAGTGCCGCACCTGCCAGCATTCTCAGACGATACCCGTCACCGGTGGCTTCACCGGTGTGTCCCTGCCTCGCATGTGCTCCAGGCAGCGCGTGCCCAACGACCCGACCCCCAAGTGTCCGATGGACCCTTACTTTGTCCTCCACGAGAGGTCGCAGTTCGTTGACCAACAAATTATCAAGCTCCAGGAAGCTCCGGATCAGGTACCCGTCGGTGAACTTCCCAGACACGTGCTCATCTCGGCAGACCGGTACTTGACCAACCGTGTGGTCCCAGGATCGCGATGCACCGTCACGGGTGTCTTTTCTATCTACCAGAACAAGAGCTCGCGAAACAACTCTACGAGCGGTGCTATCGCCATCAGGACCCCATACCTGAGGGCCGTTGGTATCCAGACCGACCTAGACAAGACGGCCAAGGGCAGTTCCACGTTCACCGAGGAGGAAGAACAGGAGTTCCTCGAGCTCAGCAGGCGGAAGGACATCTATGAAGTTCTCACAGATTGCATCGCGCCCTCCATCTACGGCAACCGCGATATCAAGAAGGCAGTTTTGTGTCTCCTCATGGGCGGATCCAAAAGATCTTGCCCGACGGCATGAAGCTAAGAGGCGACATCAACGTCCTCCTCCTCGGTGACCCCGGTACGGCCAAGTCCCAGATCCTAAAGTTTGTAGAGCGTGTGGCCCCCATCTCCATCTACACGTCCGGCAAGGGTTCGTCTGCCGCCGGTTTGACGGCCTCGGTGCAACGTGACCAGTCGACGCGAGAGTTCTACCTGGAGGGCGGTGCCATGGTGCTCGCGGATGGCGGCGTGGTCTGCATCGACGAATTTGACAAGATGCGAGACGAGGACCGTGTGGCCATCCACGAAGCCATGGAGCAGCAGACCATTTCCATCGCCAAGGCAGGCATCACCACCATTCTCAACTCGAGGACGTCGGTGCTTGCGGCGGCCAATCCCATCTTTGGAAGATATGACGACATGAAGTCTCCCGGCGAGAACATTGATTTCCAGACCACCATCTTGTCTCGTTTTGATATGATCTTCATCGTCAAAGATGAGCATAGTCGAGCAAAGGATGAGAGTCTTGCCAAGCACGTTATGAGCATTCAGATGGGTGGTCGGCGGGTGGATGATACCTCCGAGGCTGAGATTCCAGTTGAAAAGATGAAGCGATACATAAGCTACTGCAGGTCGTACGTGAATCCCGTCCCCAACCCCTCACCCCCTGTCCTCACGGTTCCACCCATCAACCGGTAGAAGAAAGAGAACCAATCAACCCCATTGAGCCTGCCAGAGTATACTAACGTTCCCTTCTCTAGACGCTGCGCCCCGCGCCTCAGCTCTGAAGCCGCCGAGAAACTCTCTTCCCACTTCGTCTCCATCCGGCGACAGGTCAAGTCGGCGGAGAAGGAGATGGATGTCCGCTCCTCGATTCCCATTACGGTGCGTCAGCTGGAGGCCATTGTCCGCATAAGCGAAGCTCTAGCCAAGTTCACGCTCTCACCCGTGGCGACCGAGACGCACGTGGACGAGGCCATCCGCCTGTTCCTATGCTCGACCATGGACGCGGTGAACCAAGGCAGCAATCAGGGCAACAGGGAACTCAACGATGAGGTCAGCAGGCTAGAGGGAGAGCTCAAGAGGAGGCTCCCCATCGGCTGGAGCACGAGCCTGGCGACGCTTAGACGCGAGATGGTGGAGGGCAAGGGATACACGGAGCAGGGGCTAAACAGGGCGCTGCTCATGATGCAGAGGAGGGACACCATCATGTTCAGGAACCAAGGCCAGCAAGTGTACAGGAATGCGGTCTAAGAAGAGGAAAGTGGAAAGGGAAAATAAAGGTGTGCGGGAATAGTTGGCAACGGTCATGTAGAGCGCGTTTCGATCTTTTTGGTCTTATTTTTAACTGTTTTGTTCATCGAGGTGAAGCGGGAGAAACGGCAACGTAATGAACAGCGAGAACGGAAAGGAAAAGAAAAGTCATGAAGCGTGGGAAGGGCGGCAGAGTGCAGGAAGGCGTTAGTTGCGGCTTAGGGATATAATTCTACATTCAAATCGAAGATTAAAAAAACAATCCTCATCCTACTTCCGGTTCAACTTGTCGGGGCTAGCTTAAACAACCACAAGGCTACCTCGTCATCTATAATATTTGATGAACATCTATCTACCAAGATGTGTCCACGAGGATGACACTTTGCAGAAGAAGCCAATCGAAGATATTAAACATAGCGATTCATTCAAATATCAAACCAAGATAACTAAGAACCAGGACTAGGTGTATGAAGAAAAAGAAGAAAAAAAAAAAAGAAGAAGAACCCGGCCCGTCCGCAGTTTCGAATCCTCAACCGCTTCTGTCGCGAATCTCCTCCGAAAAGCTTATTTTTCTAACCTTTGTGAGCGCTCCGGTTCGACCGTTAGGCCATTCCAGTCGCAGTGTAGGTGCTTGAGCTGCTCGGTTGGGAGTTCTTGCTGTAAACTGCCATATAAGGGATATACTTACTCTTCTGAAGGAAACGGAAGGAGCGAGTTCGTGGACTTGGGCTTACACCTTGGGGAACGCTTCCGAGGGTTGGAAAGAGCGAGGGGCGTCCGGCCATCTCCCATTTGCCTCATACTATAAGAAGGCAGGAGCGGCCGGGCTACGCGGAGGTTAGGAGCACTTCTAGCTATGCGCGCTGTATCAAGTGTTCGAACTGGAAACCACCCGTATGTTTCCCTTCTCCCTTACTCATGGCACGGCATCAACTGGTTAACACAGGCAGGATAGAAAAGTCTTTTACATTTCAACCTCTAATGCCAAGTCTATAAACTCCGGAAACCGCGTTCTAATCAGAAAGCCCAAAGAAAAAAGCCGGATGAAAACTCCAACTCTAAATGCAACGCCCACGCGGGATGCCAACCATGCAATTGTGAAAAAGCTAATAATATACACGTCTAGACCGCGTGCTTGATGATGACACCGTCGGCGTTCACCATGTATCCCCAGTCAAGCAGCTGAAGCAGAAGGCCGAGGTAGGCCATTGAGTCTATATCGAAAATATGGCGTCAGCACATGCGCGGATATATGAGAAAGGGCAGGAATCACACTGATGTCTCGTTCGATAACACTTACCGGCATTCTGAGTCTGCTTGATGGCAGTAACGCAGGAGAATCCGTAGCAATCGGGATGGTCGAGTGTGCCCTTGTCCTGCTTCCTGCCACCGTGCTTGGTGTGGAAGAGCTAGAAAACCAATGCGTCAGCCAAAAAGAATCTTCCTCCAGGACAGAAAAAGAGCCAAGGGAACTATTCCATACCTCGTGAAGCATAACGTGCTCCGGCATCATCAGGGCCTCGACCTGCCTGAATTCCTTGTCGGTCTGCTTCTTCCACTCCTCCTCAATCTTGGAAAGCTCTTCGGGCAGCCTAGCCTTCTCGACAAACTCGCGGGTCAGGATAGGCCAGCCCTTGGCGGACCACTGGTCGCGCCACGTCTTGAAAACGTCGATGGAGGCGGCCCTGCCACCGCTGCGCAGGTTGTCCGAGGTCGCGGGCCTGTTGGGGTCAATCTTGTTCTCGTAGCGCCTGGTCACGGCCTCGGCGTCCATGTCGAGGCCGTCCGGCGGCTGGTAGACCTCGCCGCGGTGGCCGTGGCGGCGGAGCTCCACACCCTTGTTCTCCCACTGGGGCCGGTTCATGATGGCGATGGCATCCTCCCAGAGCTGCTCGCCCCTCTCGTCGGTGGCTCCCTCGATGGCGACGAAGCGCTTGTCGTCGGCAGAGCACCAGATTTCCTGCGGGTCAAGGTTAGGACACTGTTCATGGTAGGAGGACTCGGTAGATGGTTGGCTTACAATGTTGTCCCAGTTGCGGCCACCGCTTGGCCTCCAGAGGAAGGCCTGGGGTGTCGTCACAGGCTCCCTACCAATATCGGCAATCGCACCCATGAAATCTACGATCCGTCAGCAAGTGGCCACACAACCCGAGGAAGAAGAGCCAATAAAACAGAAAAGACCGCACTCCCAGCCGAGGCCCTACTCGTACTCACTCTTGGCGAAATTGATCTGGTCCTGGAGACCCTTTTGGCTCCAGCTCTCACCAAAGACAACTTTAAACGCCCTATCGGTTAGGTCATCCGGATTGCTTAGGCGATCACGAGCGGCCTTGGCCCGGTCGATAGCGGCGCCCATGGCCTTTTCGATACCGGCTTTCTCGGCATCATCTAAAGAGTAAAGGTTAGGATTACTTGTATTTTCCTACGATCCCTGCGGAAAGAAGGGAGGCCCTTACTGCAGTTGGCATCAATGGCATAAAAGCCGATGGCCAAGGCGCTTTGGATAAGCGGAAGGAGGAAGAAGGCGGAAGTCTTCATGGGGACTAATTTGGAAGACGACTAATACGTGGAATATGCTGGACGAGAGTTGGAGGGGCTAAAGCGGGCGAACAGAAAACCAAAGAGAAACAAAAGAAAAGAAGAGAAAAAAAGAAATAAAAGGGTTGACGAAAGGAGATAAAGCAACGCTTGACAGGAAGAGAACCCGTATAAGAATGGTAGGTGATGATGAAGCAAGGAAAGAGAAAATAACAGTGATGGATTAATAGAGGTGGCACATGGCGAGGAAGCACATTGGTCATATATACTGGCAACCGACATCTGCATCTTCGCTTCACCAAGGGCACGAGTTGACTTTGCCGAGCTCTAGAGTTCCTTTCGCAGAGTTCCTTTCGCAAACCGGGGACAATGTCCGGCTCCTTCTCGCTCAGCCAAGATTCAATAAGCGCTCGCCGCGCTGTGCTCGCTAGCACTCCAAAGGGGGAATCGGCCCACGATCCACGATAGCCGCAGCGCGTGTGCAAGGAACGGATCACCGCCATCATCACACCTCACGATGCGCAGCGCAAAACAAAACGCCGCCCCCTACCCACCCAGGGGAAGGACGAGTGTTTCCTGGTTCTCCTTTGACGAACTGCTGATCGAGTCAGTCCTAAAAAGAGTGTGTTCCCGATTCGATGTCTTGTCATTTCATCTCCACACAGGACCCCGGAAATCCCTCGGCCGAAAAGAGACGAAAACAATACAAGCAAAACGTGAAGAATGAGTAGATGGGCGAGTGAGGAAGGGAGAAAAGTCCCCGGAAGGTAAAACGTCCGGTACGCGCAGTGTCCGCAGCAGGACTGGCTGTAGGGAACGGGGATATTAGCCGAGCACGAATATATCCTGTTCAGGGGACTCTTCGATCCGGATTGGCTGGGATAGCAGTGGGGACTCTGGTTCTATTTTTCCTTTGGGGGTTTGCTGAGCCAAAGGGCGCGGGGAGGCTGAGAAGAAGCAGGGGTCTTGGGGGCAGAAACAGAGGAAACAAAGAGTAATACAATGGCACAATGGATCTGGGGATACATTGGTACATGTCAGCAAGCATCAGCATCGATCGATCGAGAGACTCTTGTGCACTGGGAAGAAAAGGTCCGCAATCGAGACTGAGCACGTGTGGGGCTCTACGGCCGCCTGCTGAGCACGGATCCGAGGCGGCCGACTACGTCGCAGTGAATCCAGCGGAACGGAGACTGCGCCCTTCACCTGCATCTTATGGGAGCTTGGTAATAACGGCGCCTAAAAAAAAATTAAGGAAACAGAAACCCGGAAAAAACAATCGGTAGGCGAATCTCACGATGGGCTGGGTTTCATGGAGGAATTTGGCGAGCATCGCCCACCCGCGCACCGCGGCTCTTGAAGCAACATAGCGTTTGTGTGTGGCGCGTGTATTGTAAGTTGACGATGGGGATATATAGTTGTTTGCCCGGCACTCGACCAAAGTCCAAAGATTATTAGTATTCCCATCATCAGCATCTTCATCTTCTTTAGCATCTCATCTCTTTGTCATCTTGGTTGTATTCATTGCATCTTTTCATTTGTTTCCTTTTGTTTTTGGCATTGTCTGTATTAAACCTCGAGCTTTTCCCATTTTTCCTTTTGTCCTGGTTTTGGTTTTAGCTCATTATCCCTATTACTCCAAGGGCTTCTTTTCTTATTCCCCATTCTTCCTATTCTCTTGTACCTGTCAAAAAGCACTACCTCCAATCTAGTCTAGCAGACATGCGGACCAGCAGCCGGGGTTTCGCAGCTCTGGCTGGCGCCTTTCTCGGCGCGGGCCTGGCCAATGCCGGTGTTTTGCCCACCCGAACCGACCAGATTGGTGTCAATCCCGTCACCATCTATCCCATCGATCACATTGTGTAAGTCCATTTACACAAAGACCCCTCCCTTTGGACAAAGATGAAGAAGAGTGGGGTGAGGACTTGAATAGCGGAAGAAAAAGGAAGACTAACACGCCCCGGAAACCCCGCGATAGCCAACACACCCTACCCCTGATCCCAACGCCCCCACCATCACGCAGGTACCCACCATCACCACCGTGGACGGCAACCCAGCTCCCATCCGCACCACCGTGCCCATGGAGCGCTTCTTCGAGGTCGAGATGGCCGAAAACGGCGCGGTGGCCATCAAGATCGTCAACTCTGGCTTCGCCGACTTCCTCAAGTCCGTCTTCACCGAGGCCGCGTGCGGTGTCCCCGGTGCCAAGGCCCGGCGCCAGCTCCTCGGTCGCCAGGGTGACGTGGCCGTGTGCGCCATGCCCCGCCCCCGCGCCCGATGAAGATCAACGACATTCAAAAGATCAAGGGCTGGAAGGATCGGGCTAAGATGATCTCGAACCTGTACCAGGAGATGCTGGACAAGACCCAGGAGAACGCGGCCACAGCCGATGTCAAGAAGCTCCTTCAGCAGTTCAAGGAGGATAACCCGGAGTGGACCGGTACTGAGGCGGATGCCATGACTGATGCGGGTGTTGACTACACCATTGGTGCCGACGAGTGAGTGATCCCCTCCTCCTCAATGAACTCCCCTTTCGTGGCTAACGGGAATTGAACACAACAGGATTGGCATTGCGGAGCTTGAAGCCCAGGGTGGCGCATCCGGCGAGCTGGGTACTCTCGGTATGAGTGTCATGAACATGCTCTACCGCCTGTTCCAGGAGGACATCGTGCAGGGCGCCGCCGCCGTCGCGGTCGGAGTCAAGGGTGCCACGGTTGCCGAGGACCTTATCAAGACTCTGCAGACTTTCCGCACCACCACCACCACTACCCGCACCACCACTAGCAGCTGCCCCGCGGCGACCGAGACCAACATCCAGAGGGTACGTCCCATTCCCCCACTTGCTCTTTTCCTTCTTTCCCTTTTAGTTCGCTAGAGACATGGCTAACAAAACCTCTTCACAGCCCGAGTGTGGTACCGACAACTGCAAGTACAAGCCCAAGGCCAACGGACTTGGCCCCGGCGGCGTTTGCGATGGTGTATGTTAATCTCCTGTCCCCGCTGTTTTCGTATTCCCATAGCCAAAGGAAACCAGGGAATCACGCTGCTAACACGGATGCATCTTCTAGGGCCCCAATGACGGGTGCGACTGCAACCCCAGCCGCTTCGAGCTCATCAACTTCCGCAACCCATCCATCGACATCATGGTTCTCTTCGCCGACGCCTTCACCCCCAAGGATATGCCCGTCTTCCCCCGTCAACGGCAGAACTGAATGCAGCATCCGCAAGGAAGTCCTACAGCCCAAGCTCTTCAGGCGGTAAGTAGCTCCAACATTTTCACAAACCCGACTGAAGAAAGAAATCGAGACTAACGTGTCACTTTCTCCCCTGTTTTCTTAGCCTCGCTTCCGACTTCTGCAGCACATGGACCACCTGGCGCCTAGATAAAGGCGTTGAGCGATCCTACAGCGCCGGTCAGGTCGCCTGGAGGGGTTATGAGGATTGGGAGTTCAAGTTCAAGTGGGAGCCCAAGGAGGGCAAGAAGTGCGAGAACACTTGCGAGCAAATCTTCATGGACGCCTTTGGCCTCAACGGTGACTGTAAGTCTTTCCCACCCCCTTTCCATCCCAACTCTACCCCTACACGCCTTAAGGGAGCCAGTTTGCTAACCTCGGGATGTTCTTTCCCTCCTCTACAGGCGCACCCGAAGACCACAAGTTCTCCCACAAGGGCTCGATCGAGCTCGAATGCGGCACCGGCTCTTTCGAGGTCATCGACCCCGCGACTAAGCCCCACGCCGAGTGCTCCCCGACGACAGCGACGTCTCCGCGGGCACGTTTGGCGGGCCCAACGCTAGCAAGAGCACTCTCTACGGCGATTTCTGCAACCGGCTCGAGGCTGGCGAGTTCATCTCGACCTACGACATCCAGGCTGACGGATGGAAGATGATTCTCTCGACGGACAAGCGCTCGGGTAACGAGTGCACGACCAAGTGCAACGACGCCTTTGCCGCCATCAACGACGCTTGCGGCAAGCGCAAGGACGCCGGCAAGCTCGCGGACAAGGGCTGGTTCGACGCCGGCTGTGTCATTTATGGTTATGAGGTCACCGACAAGGTGGAGGAGCCCAAGCCCGAGGAGCCCGCGCCGCCCCCGGCCAACCCTCCTCCTGCTAGGTCTCTTTGTAACAAGGACAGCGACTGCAACCAGTGGACTTGCGACGGGGGCAGGAAGCCCGGTTGCAGCAGCCAGGTTTCTGGCGACCCGCTGACCAAGTACTGCGCTTGCTAAAGAGTGGGAATAATTCGCTTGGCAAAGTGCAATCTTCATAGGAGCCAAATGTGGCTTTCATGAGAGATATACGCCACTTTTATTTCATTTGTAGACGGGAGCGAGGAAATTAGGGTAGACATGAGGGATTCACATTAGATCTGGGAAAGGTGCATTGTTCGGGGTTTCTGGGATTAGACTAGAGCATATTGTATTTCTTGATCTCATTTTCAAAGGAGTCGAGGCGCAATTCAAACTTTTTGTCAAATGGGGTCCTTTTTAATCGTCCATGTATTGAAATTGAAAGAGAGAGTCTTAGAGATGATAGCTTGAAGAATGATGCAAGCAACAAGAGCTGGGTCGTGACTTCCCAGTGCTGAGCGGTCACTGCACGTGATTGATGTTGCTGTCACCGTGAACCAGTAGCCAAAATGCAGCAGCGACCGACAAGCTTCGATTGGATTGGATTGGATTGGGCGAGGTTCGAAGTCTACATCAATACAACCCCATTTCCGCCCCACCAAGAAAACAGCTGCCTCTGGGACAGACGCGCCCGCCCCAAGCCAAACCGTCGAAAGCGCGACAGCTCCCAATTTACGACCAGCACCAAGCTCGAGCTGCATCGCGACCATCCCTCGACGACCTTCTCAACGACGTTACGACCGCGCTTCCTTTACGACCACCAAACACCGGAGAATGCTCTTGGAACCACTGCGATAACACCACCCCCGGAGGAGCGCCACACACACGCTCACACACAGCACCATCCGATACCCCTCTCTGAAAATTGAAGTTGCGTGGGTGCATGTGTGCGTGTGTGCGGTGCGCGCAAGAGGAGAACCGAAACCAAAAACATAGAAAGAGGGGAAAGATACTTGGCGCACATCTCCAAGAGCAGCAAGGGGGTTTGAGGCAACATGGAGCAGTACCTCCGCGACTGGAGGCAAGATGCGTTGAACAAGGCGCAATATGAGTCGGCCATCTTTATCGGCGACAAGCTTCTTGCTTTGACAGGTAAGAATAGGATTTTTAACTGCGGCGCCCATCACTCTCCCTATGCTTGGCCCATTTTGTTTTGTGCCCAGGACCCCGCGGGGGCAGTTTAAAGTACAGCCGCTAACATTTTCCCTCGCGAACCGAGGAACTAGGCGACGACAACGACGCGTTCTGGCTCGCCCAGGTCCACTTTGCTACCGGCAACTACACCCGCGCCCAGACGTTTCTCTCGAAGCAAGATCTCATCTCCCGCAACCCTTCCTGTCGGTACCTGGCCGGCCACTGCCTCGTCAAGCAGGGCCGGTACAGCGAAGCCCTCGAAGTCTTGGGTGAGCGCAACCCCACGCACCTCATCAACCATGCGGGCGGCAACAAGCGCAAGATGCCTAATACGGGCGGGCCCGCTCACCGCACGCACGCGAGATCGGGATCGATGCAAGGAGCGGCGGCGTCGGCTCAACAGCAACAGCAACAGCACCAGCACCAGCAGGCACACGGTGGGGGTGGCAGAGGTGCCGCTCTCGGGGCGCCGCGGGAGCGCGGGGTTGCGGCGCAGCAACACCATCCGCTTGTACGCGATGGGGCGGCGAGACGCACCGGTATAGCCGGTGGCGGGGGTTAGCGGGAGGAGGAGGAGGAGGAGGAGGTGGTGGCGGTGGTGGAGGAAATGGTGGCGGTGGCAACGGCATCAGCTCATCGCAAATATCGGACGAGGAGGCGTCGAACCGGCGGTACGAGGCGGCCATGTGCTACCTGCGCGGGGTGTGCTACGCCAAGCAGAACGCGTTTGACCGGGCCAAGGAGTGCTACAAGGACGCGGTGCTCATCGACGTGCAGTGCTTCGAGGCGTTCCAGCAGCTGATGCAAAACTCGCTCATGTCGCCCGACGAGGAGTGGCAGTTTCTCGAGGCGCTCGACTTTGATTCGGTGACGGCGGCGCCGGGGGCGGACTTGTCATCCTCGCAGGAGGCGGGCGAGTTCACCAAAATGCTGTACACGACGCGGCTATCCAAGTACCGCAACCCGGCCGAGTTCACGACGGCGTACGAGTCGCTGTCGACGCACTACCACCTCGCGTCGAACCCGGACCTGCTGCTGGCGCGGGCGGACCTCCTCTTCACGCAGTGCCGGTACCGCGACGCGCTCGAAATCACCGAGTCCATCCTGCGCGAGGACAAGTACAACTTCGCCGTGTACCCGCTGCACCTGGCGTGCCTGTACGAGCTGCGCATGAAGAACGTGCTCTTCCTCGTCGCGCACGACCTCGCCGACACGCACCCCGAGGAGCCGTGCTCCTGGCTCGCCGTGGGCATCTACTACTTCGCCATTGACAAGATTGCCGAGTCGCGCCGCTACTTCAGCAAGGCCAGCACCATGGACGTGCATTTCGGCCCCGCGTGGATCGGCTTCGCGCACACCTTTGCGGCCGAGGGCGAGCACGACCAGGCCATCTCGGCGTACTCGACGGCGGCGCGGCTCTTCATGGGCACGCACCTGCCGCAGGTGTTTCTGGGGATGCAGAACCACGCGCTCAACAACGTGCCGCTGGCCGAGGAGTTTCTCAAGACGGCGTACGGCTTGTGCAAGACGGACCCGCTGCTGCTCAACGAGATGGGCATCGTCAAGTACCACCAGGACCGGCCCAAGGAGGCCGTCGTCTGGTTCGAGCGCGCGCTCAAGGTGGCCGAGGAGATTGACAGCGAGCCGTCGGCGTGGCTGGCCGCGCGCACCAACTTGGCGCACGCCTACCGCCGGCTGCGCTTCTTTGGCCGCGCGCTCGCCGAGTTCGACGAGGTGCTCCGCCTGGGCGGCAAGGATGCCGCCGTTTTCTCGGCCAAGGGCCTCGTCTACCTAGAGCAGGGTCTCCCCGAGGAGGCCGTGGGCGTGCTGCACGAGGCGCTGGCCATCAATCCCCAGGACGGCATCGCCACCGAGCTGCTCAACAAGGCGCTCGACGAGACGGCCGAGGCGGATACGGCGGAGCCCCTGCTCGGCGCGTTTGAGCAGGAGCTCGCGCAGAGGCGGGCTAGGGCGAGCGATCGCTTGAATAACGGCGTCGCCGCGGCCGGGGCGGACCGCGCGGGGTCCTTGTCCTCGTCGGCGGATCACAAGGGGAAGAGCAGGGCGGGGACGCGGGGCGGGGATTTTGGCGAGGCAAAGCCCGTTGATGGAGTCGGATGAGTTGGAGGAGAGGGAAGGGTCCATGATGGAAATGACTGATGAGGAGTAGTAGAAGAGGAAGATGATGAAAACCGTCTGGGCGTATTGATTGGGAAAAACATGCAAGTCCCTATTATCTTTTTTTTTTCAAAGCAGTGCATGGTTCTAGAGTCTTGTATGAATGGAGATTGGGAGTCCACTGCTGCGTGTTATGGAGTAGGTTGTCATGAGAAGGAACACGGCTTGCTGAAGAAGGGGCCAATCCATGCAATAAATCATCGAAGATTATATTCCAACTATTAATTATGTAGTCTTTCTTTTTTCACATGTATTCTCCGTAAACGGGCCGTGTCACATCGCTCGGCGTTGCGCTGACACTAAATCAATACTCCGGGCCGGCAAGGGAAAAGACACGCGCCGAAAAAAATTCATCCGCGCCGACTTAATTTCAACGTCTGCTCATCACCGCGCTCCCCGTTTTTCCCCATACGACTCCCCGGGGACCAGGGTTATCACGCTGCAACGCCCCCTCGCCAACTACCCAGATAATGGAGGCCATAATCCATTGATAAAACAAAACTGCCAATTCTCCAAATCTAGGCTTCTAGCATCTAGAGCCGAGTTTGGCCACCAATCACCCAAAGACGACGCGCGCCCGCGCACGCATCCACGGGTCCATCCCCTCCCTCTTCCACCATGACCGACATCTTCCACTACCACGGCTTCCTCGCCCCCCACCCTCCACCCAATCCCACCCCGAAGCCCTCCTCGCCACCCACCACCTCCTCCGCACCGCGCCCCCGTCTCCTCCTCGCCGCCCTCCTCCTCCCCGTCTCCCGCGCCTTTCTCCGCCGCCGCGCCGGACCCGTCCTCACCGCCCTCCTCCCGCCCATCAACCTCCGCGCCACCTTGCGCGTCACCGGCGCCTGCCTCGTCCTCGCCCTCCCGGCCTCCTTTGCCGCGCAGACCGTGCACTTGCGGCTGCGCGAGCGTCGCCTCGGCGTCGAGGACACGCGCGCCCGCGCCTGGTGTCTCCTCGCCGACCGCGCCGAGCGCGAGATCGACCGCTGCACGTACGCCTACGGTCTCGGCGCTCTTCTCTTCGTTCCCTGGGATCGTGGCGTCGGGTTTCTCAGGCTGCTTGGTGGGTTTGGTCTCGGGAGCGTCGTTGGCGTCGTCGCGTGGGGGTCTGGAGGGTGCGTGGCCCCTCGCGAAGCGGGTTGTTGGCTGGGGGTGGACTCCGACGATCTCGCCGCCGTCGGGGCCGAGGACGCCGTTGCCGCTGCTCAAGTAGACGTGACTGCGGCCGTGGAGGAGTCTCGGGTTCAGCACCAGCCCTAACGACAACGTCCCCTCCTAGACGGACCTCCATCCACTCCACTCCCCTTTCCCTTACCTTACTCGCAGCTCATTTCCTTGTTCGATGACAACCACGTCGCAACGGAGAAGCATATGCACATGCACGCACGTATATCCCGCACAGGAACAACGAAAAAGGACCCCTCGCTCCCTCGACCCCTTACAGCCAGATAACAGCCGCGCATGCAGCGAGCCATCTCTTTCCCTATACATAAAATAGTCTCTTCTCCGACCCCCACTCCCGCTCACTGCCACTGCCACTGCGCTGCAACCTTCTCGATCGAGACACAGGAACCTTTTTTCGTCTCCTTTCTCTGTCCTTGCCATCTCCCCTCCTTTCTCTCTTTCCGTCGTGCCCCCACACCAGATCCGGCAAGGCCCATACCAGCAAAAAGATCATCTCCCCACCTCCTCCCCCATCCGGCAGCTCCCTTGGCAGATAGCTGCGGCCCTGCTCCTTCTAGAAGCTCCGTGCCGAACCTCGAAGAAATCAAAAAAGATCCCAGCCCGCGCCTCCATGCATGCCACCCACCTCTCGCCCGCTCTTGGCCCCTCCCCCTCTTCTCCAGATCGATGTCAGGGGAACGAAGAGTCGCAGTAGCATGAGCTCGAAGAAAAGGAAGCAGTGATGTGAGGAGGAGGAGGAGGGGAGGAGGGGGCGTTTGATAACAGAGGGTGTGTTCTCCAGAAGCTAGAGACCGAAACAGGGAGGAGGAACCATCCCGTCATGCACATGGAATCACGCAAGCAATCGACAAAAAAGACAGCCATCCATAGATGCGTCATCACGTCCTCTCCTACTCCGCACGATCCACCCACTCCCATCGCCAGAGACCCTGGAGCCCCCTCCCCTCTTCATGACTCGGCGCATCGATCCCCAAACTACAGCGCACTTGCCATCGTCCCCCTTCTCCGCCTCGGGCACCCAGCTTGAGCCCACGTCTAAGCAATGCTTATCCCCACGACTCGTTGGGGTTGGTTCCGTCACCACTCGTGCATCAGCCCAGACCTAGTCCTTTCTCCAAAACGTCCCAGTTCTCTACGCCCTTCACACCCTTCCCTGCACGGCTGGGCTGCGCCTCCACCTCCAACTCCCCCACCTCCCCTTTCATCTTACTACTCTGCATCGCACCCTTCAGGGCCCTCTCTATACCATTTACGTCCCTCTGGCTCTACCCTCCCCGCCCCCTTCGCTATCGCGAGAGAACATTTCCCTGCAGCCTAGCCTTCTCTCGCCAACAGCGCCCTTCCCCTCGCCATGTCACTCCCGTTTCACCTCATACGTCTACGCGTTGTCATCTTCGCTTGCAAAGAAAACATCTCCCATTTCAGACCCCCGTTCCTTGATACGCGGACAATATCTCATCTTGATCAGTAGTTCAAAAAGAGTCCTCATTATTGATACCCCTCCATTTCTTAGCCGTTACATAAGTAGATGTGCAAATACAATTCCTAGGCCCTGTGCGTTGTTCACGTCGTCACATGTCTTAATAGTACAAAAACGTGCGTTGTCTGTCATGTCTGGTAACGAACCCCAGAAACAGGAAGAAGAGAAGGCCCTCCCAATCCAAAAAAGAAAAAAAAGTAGAAAAAGAAACATTGGAATACCAGTAAACGGCGACTTTTATGTGTCCAAAGCAACCGCTTCTCTTGTCTCCCTCCCTGTTGCTCTCCCATGCCTCTCTCGCCCACGTCCAAAAGTTGAACCTGAGCAAACGAAGCCAGTCGCGCCCCTTGGAGGTCGGAGAGGCGCAGAGAGAACAGAGAGGAAGTTTCGAGTAGAGAACGAGGCAGAGGAAAAGAGACGACGAAACAAAACCAAATCATGTGCTGTATCCCATTTCCTGTGTGTGTGTGTGTGTGTGAAAAAGATTGTAATACACCGCCGACCCGCCATTAAGAAGATCCTTAAAATTCGCCAAACATGCGTGAGTGATGCAAAACAGGATCAAGTGAACCACCAATAGCTTCAAATCGCAGAAAAAAATCAAAAGAAAGGGGATATATGAGAAACAGAGAACGCAAGAACAATGCACGTGTTGATAAAACAGGGAGGTCATAAGGAAAAGAAAAGAAGATAAAAATGAAACCAAAACTCTCAAATAGGCCGTTTCATGGGGAGGTAGAGAGGTAGAGAGAGGTAGAGAGAGAGAGAGAGAGGGAGACAGAGAGAGAGAGAGAAAGAGACAGAGACAGAGAGGGCATCATAGAGGACGAGTTGGGGGAAAGTTGATCGTTGTATGACAAGGCCACCCCCGGTGCACCTAGAACATGATCCATTCCACTTCCCCAGCCCACTGCGCAATGTACCTCGTCCAATTGAACGGTCCAGTCCCATCGGAGCGCGCACGCCCGGCGCGTGTGGCATCCTCCGCCCAGAGAGTTTCCAAAATCTCCAGCGCTGCGAGGTTGTTCATATAGCCCGACCGGGCCATAATGTCGCGGCATTTAGCCCGCACAATGTTTCTCTGCAGGTCGTTGACGCATTCCGAGCCCGCCACGAACAGAGGCCAAAGTAAAAACTTCTCCGCCGCGCTGCTCGCCTCGAGGCTCGTCGCGTAGTACACGACTTGGCTGACCAGGTTTTGGAAATTGGCACTCGAGCTGGGTGGGCTCGGGTTCGCCAGCCTCTCCGTGTACAAGAGCGCCGCGTAGCGAAAGGCTTCTGAAAGGCACCCCAGGTCCCGCAGCTGCGCGGCCGTGGCATCGCAGGGCAGCGTGGCCTGAAGCTGCGAAGCGTCAAACTCCCACGACTGCAGAGCCTGCCTGACCTCATTCCACTCCTCCCAAAAGGCAGCTCGATCGTTGCTAGCGCTTCCCGAGCTAACCAATCTATAGCCAAGCTGCCCAAGTGACGCCGCGCCCCCAAAAGTGGCAGCGTGTTGCGTGCGCGCCTGCCCGTCATTATCTGGGTGACGTAGGCTTTTGTTTTGTGATAGGAGGTTGAGTCGCGCCAGCCGACGAATGGTTCTGAAAAGATCCCGTTCGCAGCCAAAGAGATTCTCGGAACCAGCCGGAAGCAGAGGCATGTCTTGAATTCTTCCGTACATATCTCCCCCAGCTGGGTCTCTCTCTCGTTGATACTAGCAGACGTAGCATCAAAATAAGTAAAAATGGCCTCCATCCACGCCGCTTCGCTCGAAGGCACGATGCGATGCGACTGCCTCAAGGCGAGTATGTTCTTGACGCCCGCGAAGTGCATATGGAACTTGGCAATCCCCGATTCGGCCATTCGGTAATGGCATAAGAGTAGTATCGTTGCGAGGGCGGAGTCGTGGGTCGCCCTCGCCGGATCATTAAGTTGTTGATTAAGTATGTTGACAGCCATGTTTCGGTGCTGTTGCTCCTCCGCCAACGCCTGGTCGGCGGAGGTTGCCTTGTCGGCCGCGACCTTTTCGTACAGCTCCCGCGTCGAGCCTAGGCCGAGGCTGAGGCGCCTCTTCATCCGGAGGTTACATGCAGACAGGGCGCAGATGGCGTGCTGGAGCCCCGGGCTCGATACAGCGAGCCTCATGACGTGATCGCTATACGGATTCCGCGGCCCGTCGATAAATACCATGGAAGGCGCCATGGTATTCTTGTAATAGTCCATGAAGAAGGGCATCTTTGCGATAAGCTCCGGGCTTACATGTACATTGCATGGTTCGTGTACGGATGATGCCCAACCACCAGCGGCTCGTGGCGCGGCACCGTCCGGCCGATCTGGGAGTGCTGTTGCGGGTGGAGGACGTGGCGGCTGTGGCCGTGGTGCGCGTGATGACCAAACTGGGCCTGTTGTCGAGCCGCAGCTTGAACTGAGTGCGTCGAGTTCTGGTACGCCTGAAACGCCATCGTGTTAGGGTCGTTGCTGCTCAGACTTTGGAAGTGGCAGGGCCCCAGATCGGAGATCATATTCGCCTTACTCAGATTGTCACACTCCCGCATCAGTCTTCGGCTCAGCTGAGCCTCGAACGAGTCCGTGTGCGGTGGGAAGCTCGAGGAATGATCCGAGGTATCGTACACCAGGCTGGGGCAGGACGTGGGCAGAGACTGATCCATCATGACAATCGGGAGCGGGCTGCGGGCCACCGGCGAGCTCTGGTTGGTGCAGCCATCGTACATTACGTTGGGGCTATGAACATAGGGGACTTCGTCCACTCGCGAGAAGGAGTGGGCCATGGGCGAAAGGTAGCCGTCGCTGGTGGAGTCAAGGGAGGGCGAAAGGCGCTGGTCCGGAGTCATGGCAAGGGAGCCGAGGTGGGCGTTCATTTTCTGGTAGTCGTGGTCTTCCGGGATAGATAGAGTCCCAGGGAACTGCATCTGATCCCAGTGGCCCTGGATTGCTGGCGATGAGCTGAGGTTGTCGGGAGAGGAAACCGTCAAGTAGTCGCAGTGGTAGAGAGCGCTGGCTGCGGGAGGCGAAACAGAGACGTGGTGATCAACAGGAGAGGCTCCCATATCACGTTCGCACGCGCTGTTGCTACGAGCCGGGGAACGCTCATGGCCATGCCAGTGCGGCCCCGCGGAGCTCGAGCTTGACCTTGACCTGGGGGCGACTTCTTCTGGGTTCCGCCGGTGACTGGCGCGGATTTGGCAACGGGGAGTGATAGCCCGCGTAGCTTTCCACGGCTGGCGACGCCCACGCCCCATGTGAGCTGGGTCTTGTATCCGGAGCACTCTTGGCCAGTCTCAAGGCATTGAGAACAGTAGGGCCGGCTCCGGTCACACTTGAGATTCTTCTTAGCACACGAGAAGCAGTCGTCCGCGGCACCACCGGCCGGTGCGCGCCTCCGTCTCTTACGGGCAGCTGAGGCATCCTTGTTCTGCGACGAGTTTTGCTGTTGTGGTTGAGCCATTGGGAAAATTGGGCGTTACGCCGGGGAGGTAGTTGTGGGGGTTGACTGTGGAGGTGGGGGAAAGAAAATAGGCTGGATACGCGGTTTCCGTTTGCGCTTCTGGTATGCGATGGCAGCGAAGGTGGTTGGGATAGCGGCACGTTTCGATAGCTGAGAGATTCTTATAGTTGAACCCGGAGCTGAAAAGATAGAAGAGCTTGTCGTACACAGGATGAGGCCATATGGCGAGACTGTATGTAGTTATCTGTGGTGCCTCATGTGGGAGTAGGGATTGTGTAAGAAGAGAAGTAAGTAACGAGGATGGCTGTAAGAGAAGCAAAGATGAAATGATATAACGATGATGAGAAGAGGCCAAAGACTAGATGTCATGGGAGAGTTGGGAAACCATTGATCAGAGGTCAAGGTAGGATGGGGGACTGTGGATTCTTTATGGACATTTTCTCGAGGATGCGAGTAGTGAGGCAGGTCGTTCATTTTGTATGGAGAGCTCCAAGATTGACAAGACACCCAGCATAAGCTACTCTTGCAGTGCTCCAAGTCACCCCTCCGACCAAACATTGTGTGTAGTGTACATTTCATATGCAACTCGACTAGCTGAGGGGTGGAGAGGGAGAGGTGGGTAGGGGGTGTGTTGGGCGTGAGGAAAGAAACAAAGGGAAGGGGTGGGGGTGGTTTGAAGGAAAGGGGTGTGTCGCGGTGGGGAGAAGGGGGGACTACTCGAGAGGAACAGGCTAGGGGTGTGTGGTGTGGATGTGGAACTCAGGTTGGGAGGGGTGGCATGGTGGGCAAGTACTGGCAAGAGATCGAGGTGTGCGAGAAAGAAACGCGAGCCTTTGTGGAGCATCGGTGCAAAGCAGCTAGCTTGAAAAGAAAAAGGCTAGGGTATTAAAGCTGCGGATACTGAGGAGCAGAGGTCAAGATGATGATCGCAGGGATGGCAAGGGCAATCAAGGCCCGCTACTATCCTGTCACGCCTTTAGGCTGGTGGCCTTCTCGCATGGCGAGACTGGAGAGGACCCTAATACTATCCCCCTAGACAGGATGAACCGACCAGACAGAAGAGGGCGTCGTCGTCTTGTCATGAGGACAGCGATGCGTTGCCGTACCCACTTACAATGAGCCATAGCCAGTTGCTCTCCCTTCTTCCACCGACCCGGTCCCAACATCCAGGCATCGAAAAGTGCTAGTCCAGCCCGCCCAAGGAGTCCAACGAACCAAAGATCGAGGCCGGTCTCCATTTAGCACTAGACACAGCTCACGAGGATCAATACCATTACGTCGGTGTTTCCAATATATGCCTGAGAAAACGAGGGGGCTCATTGTTGGGAGAAGGAGGCTTCCCAAGGCTGGGTTAGAGCCAGCGCCAGCGCCAGAGGCGGCCGCCACCTTGGCAAGCATGGCCTGGCCAGAGACGCCTCTTGCTGAGAAATCCGCTGGTGGTGAGTTGCCCCAGATCCTTGGGAGGACGAAATAAAAACAGAGCGTCTAATACCGATAGTTTAGGGTATTGGGGATGGCGTTAATTAATGTTGTTGTCCTCAGGGCTTATTCCTCTTTTCCTGCTGCTTTTCCTCTTGTATGTTGCGGGTCTTCTTCCGCAAGTATATGCCCCGTGCGCTGAAGCGCCAACGACCAGCGAGGGATTGGGCCTCGAGCCGAGGGTATTTGGGGAGCGTAGCTGGTGGCGTCTGCTAGGGTCGGAAGTGGTTCCATCAATTCATCTGGATACTGTTAATATTATACGAACGTCCACTGTTGTGTGGACAAAACGCCTCCGTACCGTTGAGAAACCGCCGTGACGGGAGGGTCAAGTACTAAGAAGAAGGCGAGCCAAACCGAGACGCTCATTTCAGCGTTCGATCGTCCGCCATGTCTCTGCCGCCTCCCAAGACGTTCGCGCGCAGCTAAAAAGAAAAAAGTCGACCGCGAGCCGCTTCCAGTACTGTGCTTGCAGTGAAATAACCTTAACCCCTCCTCTCTCATAACTTGTCCTGCAGCAAGCCCCCGGGATAGCCAAAGACGAAGAGGGTCGACTAGTAATGTCTTGGGCGTGGCCGTACAAGTCACCCCCAAGCCTAGCCGGACCAATCCACCAACAACATTATACTGCCGACGAAAAAAAAATGTTTGGCTTGTCGTTCGTCGCCTTGAGGAGAACCACCTGCGGGCAAGGGATCCCCCTTCCCCTGCCCCCCGCCTTAGGATCTGGCTGAACCCAGCAAGACCTCAAAGGCTCGCTCACTTGCTGCTGGGATAAACCGGGCCTAATGAGTCCTGCGGGCTATGTCTGTCGGCGAGCGGTAGTGTGTCTTGGAATCTCGGTGAAGGAGTACGCGGTGTTGTCCGTAGCCTGCAAACCAGGCCTTCCAACTGACTAAGAATGGGGTACACTCGATGTCGCGAATCCTTCCTCTCTCCTTCCGCCTCTCCCATCCATGGTTCGAGGGGTCTGTTCTTCGGGGAGAAGGAACTACTCAATAATACACACGCACAACGCGCACTGCAACCAGAGCAAGGATTGGGGGTCGTGAGGTTGGGGGAAAGGGTGGGCAGTCGCGGGTAGGGTGCCAGATTAGGGCAAGGCCAATAGGTAGGAGCAGCCCATGTTATGCTTGTGGCTGGCCAGGAAAGAGCTATCTCCGGTCTGCAACTGCGAGGAAAGGCAAAAGATCCGTAATACACGAGAGGCCGAGGGTGCAATCCGGCGTTCGAAGCGCAAAGAAGAGCTTTTCTTTTTCTCTTTTTCTCTTTTTCTCTTTCATATGTAAGTTCTCATTACCATCATTCACGTATCATACGCGACCCTGGTGCTTCCCGCTCCAGACATCAATCAAAATCTACCCCATGCTCGGGCAACTCCAAGCGTGCCAGTCCCACCCAAGACGCAAAAATCATCGCAGTTTCACATATCGTGGAGAATGAAACGGATGTAACAAAACATCTCATTGTTTCTTCTGAGATCTGGCGACCCGCTCAAAATGTCAAAAGAACGGAAACCGTGGAAAGGGGTAACGCTGGAACTAAATCCACGATAATAATACCAGTCTCAAAAGCATAGCCGGCACGACCCGCCTCACGTTTCCGAACCTGAGGTCTCGACTGAGAACCTCTTTCAATCATTGAAGCCTCAGAGTCCCCATTTGTCAACCGTCCGCCCGCCACCGAACATCATCAAGCCTTCCCCGTCTTCCCCGTCGATTTTAACTGGACAGTCTCAGTCACGCATCATTGACCCAATGGCCATTGGCGGGTTCCCATGTGTCCCCTCCTCAAGGGTCTCAGCTTCCTGGCCTTCAAGAATTCGTTCTTTTTTTCCTTTTTCCTAGAGTGTAATTATTGCCGGTAACCGCTCGCGTGCTCTCTCCTTCGCCAAAACGCGATGCAAGTAGGAAACAACCGAACCACGGCGACTAATAGGCCTATCCAGTACCCCGGGCCCGCTCGTGATTGTGGTCAATTGATCCAAGGTCGCACTTCTCCCGCCCTGTTGACCGCCGGCCGGTTGGTATGATCTGGCTAGCATCGAACTTTTGTATCGGCCATCCATAGATGTGCGTCGGTTTGGAGAGACTTGCACCGAGATAACTAACCGATGACGCTGGTTGGAGGGCAAAGAAGGACCGTGGCTAGAAAGCTCCGCCAGGGCCATGTTCTTCTTTGCCCCATTTCCCAGTTTCGGCAGCGACAATGGCCTTGATCGATGATCCAATCCATCGCACGAAGCAAATTTTGGGGGACATATTTTCCGTGTGCGAGAGAGTGGGAGGTTCTTTTGCACAATGCCAAGTCTCCCCACTGGTCGCCTGCTTGTACATGCGAGTCGCCATTCCAGTCTAATTGATGTGTGGGACTTTTTTGGGGACCTCCAGCCGAACCATGCAATGTTACACCCTCACAAATTTCAGTTGCTTTCTTCACATTATTGCTCTCGGTCTTCCTTCCTCTCCCGAGGGACCCTTCCAATACCCCAACCGTCTCAATGTTCACTCTGTGGGGTTCTAGGAACAAGCCCCCATCTCCTCATCTTCCTTCTTGATTTTTTTATTTTTATTTTTCCTTTTCCCTTTTCTCCTTCAAATCCTCCTGTTTAGGTCGGCGGTACTTTGCTCCACGCTAGAGGATATGCTCGGCCCAGCGGGGTCTACCTTATTTACATCCATCCTTGAGGAGGTAGGGCGGCTCCATAGATAGGCCAGGGCTAGGATCGGAAGTCGCCGCTCAGTATTTGTTTTCTCTCCTCTCCTCCCAACACCAGACGATCCCGCCCCGCCCTCCCCTCTCTATTTGATAGCCCCAAGGACGTGGAGGGCCCCTTGAGTTTCGGGTAAGAAAAGAATATGCTAGTCGCCAGCGTTGATCAAGGAGGCGGTTGACCAAAACGCCCCTTGCTACTATTTTTGCCCCTTGCCGAGCGCTTGGTGTTTCTCAACAGCTCAAGCGCCTCGTGGAGAAAGGAGGACGCCTTTCCATCTCCACATGCCCAGATTTTCGGGTGTTGAAACAGCTTGATTTGTTAGTACTGAGCTCAAATTCCGATTGAACTCAACTTCCGATTGCGAGAAATGTGTACCCATATGGCTTTCCTTATCACAATATGGCAGAAGCTTCATCCCACATATGTCCGTGATCCAGGCCATGTGTCCGTCTCCCGGCCAGTGCGACGTGAAGGATCAACAAAGGATCCTAAAATCCCGTCATTGAAAAAGACCCGCCAACCTCCAGATGATACTTGGGTGATCCATGCTTGGCGAAAGAGAGGGACAGAAAGAGAAAAAGAAAAGGCAAGGTACCCACGTTGCTAGCCTGGCGAAGAAAATCACACAAGGAACATTGTGCGGCAGGCTTATCTTTTGCGTCAAAGAGGAATGGGTCCCTTCTCTCGATCCATCAAGCCTTAGGATAATACTACCGAGAGTCAGACAGAGAGAGAGACCCTTTCCCCATACCCGCCCAGCCCGCTACCCGCTCTCCAAACACCTCAAGCTTCTCGAGGCAGAGAT